GCCCCCACCCCGCCCCCAGTCCTGGTCTCATGCAGCCCTGCGCTTCCGGCTTCTGCAGCGATGGAGCGAGGCATACGAATCCCCTCAGATCTGCTCTCAGCCTCTTATTCACATCATCTGTAAAAAAAAACCGGACACTCAAAAAACAACAGCAACAAGTAAAACGCTACAAGTCTGAGAGAGAGCGAGAGCTGCAGGGTCTCCGTCTGATGGATTTCCAGCGCTGAAAAGAGCGAGCATAACATTCCTCCCGCGGAGGGTTGGCACCCGTACAATAGTAGAACTGAAAGATTTTTAAAAAGAGGAGAGAGGGAGAGAGGGAGAGAGAGAGAGAGAGAGAGAAAGGGGAAGCGACTTCCGCTGGGAACGGAGCTGAGCTGGCGCAGCACCACGCGGTCTGGGGCCAGGCCCTGCCTATCTGCCTCCTGCCCTGATAACCTTCTCTGTGCAGCCCGTGTCCTCCCCACCCCCCGCCCCGCCCCCCCAATTACTCAGCCCTGTAGGAAATAAATGTGTCTGCCCCTTCAAGTCCTGCTCCCCACTGTTGCCTCCTTGGGGTACTGGCCGGCTTCCCCGGTGGAGGCCAAGGCTTCCTGCAGTGCCCATCTGGCCCCACAGACCTGGCTGGCTCCGCTGCCCCAGGCCCCACAGCCCTGCCCCCTTCCTCCAAGGAGGCAGGTTTTGTTTGGGAACCCGTAGCTGAAAGCTCAGGGTGACTGGGGCTCCCTGTGCCCCAGCAAGGCCTCTGGGTGACCTCAGTCGTGGGTCCCTGGCCTTGGCAGTGGTTGCTTCGGGAGGGGTGCGTGCAAGGCCCTGGCCAGGAGGAGGAGGTCAGTTCGCTCGGGGCTCCGGGTCCGATTCCTCATTCTGAACATGTGACCAAGTGTGGGACACGGCTGGTGCCCTTCTGTGGCCTTTGGCCACTGTCGGGTGAAGGCTGAAGCCTGAAGCTGTGGCGTGCGTGTCTGTGACTGGAAGAGGCCCGCGGAGGGCGGTCCCACAACGCGATGGGAGGGTCCCCAGTCCTGGGGCCGCCAGCCTCCCAGGTTCCCATGGAGCTCCCCGTGGGGAGCAGGGCAGCAGGCGCCCCGGGCTGTTCTCACAGCAGCTGGGCTGAGCACGGGACGCTGGATGTGGTGGAGGGAAAGTGGGCGTTCGCTGAACCCCACGGAGTGGGGGGCGCGGGCCACAGGCGGCTGCTCCAAGCCGAGCACCCCTCGGGCTGATCACACAACCCCCATCCTCCCGCCGTGGCCGGGGTGCTGCTAAACCCAGCGGCAGGCCCTCTGGGGAAATTAGCACGCTGATGGGCAGCGCTGGCCGATTTCTGTGCATACATGTCCCCACCGTGGCTGGAGTGAAGCCACCAGCAGGATGGGGCTGGACAGGAGGGTGGGAGGACGTGCCTGAGCTCGCCGCCGCACGGAACCTCCCCAGACAGGCAAACGGACGGGAGCCTCCCCAGGAGCACAAGTAACGTGAGGCCAAGCACAACAGTTGGGAAGTGACAGGGTCCGAGGATGTATTGCGGCTGGCTTACACACGATGTATTTAACGAAACTTATAACTTAATGTTTCATGATGCCTCTGTTTACCAACCCGCTGGCAAAACACCTGAAAATTGATCAGTGGCTCTTGTGAGCACATAGAGCCTGACCCCCGACACCAGGGACTGAGTGACAGTCGCCAGGCTGGGCCACTCAGCCCCGAACGGACGTGACTGTGCCAGCGCCGCGTGTCGGGCCGGCTCGCTTACTCAGCAGCCGACGGCCACGGCCATCCTGACAACGCTGAGTCCTCACGTGAGCGTGAACTTTTCCCAGAGTGCTGAGGAGCCGTCGAGTGTGTGACCTGCCTGTGCCACCGGGCTTCCTCCTCAAGCACATGTGACGCGTTGGAAACGCAGCCGGCCTCAGTCATTGTCGGTCACTTTAAGGCAGGAGGCTGCGTGTGCGGCCCCTGGGTGGGACGTGGGGCCCAGGGCTCCCTGATGGCGGCCGGTGGGGTCCAGAGGCCCGGCTGTCAGAATGCCACTTCCTACAGCACACGGCTGTTTGCTTCCTTACAGCCCGAGTGAGTCACTGCCATCTTGAGCAGTTTATTACTGTGACAAACGGCACTTCTCCAGTCATGGCGACCACACCCTAGGGGGTCCGTACCCCGACTTCCTTGATGACACGGAGAAGGCTCTCCCTTGACGGCAGAGCTTGTAGACTGAGCAGTGTGAACAAATTGGAAGGTTCACCCAGAGAGCGATGCGGGCAAGCTCTCTACCGAGAGGCTGGCATCCAGGTTGGCGTTTGGGGCTTCCCGCGCTGTTTGGAAGGATTCTGGCCTTGCAGCCACGTGGCTGACCAGGCTGAAGGAGCTACCTCACAGCACACTTTTCGGAGACGTGAACTCGGCGTTTGCTGGCAAGTGCCCACATGTAATCCAGTCATGGTCCGGGCTGGACCGCAACACCCAGGCCCCCGCTCTGACCCACAGAGAGGCCCCAGAGCGAACGGGGCCCAAAGCTGCCCACACACGGCCTTCGGAAGTACTGCAGATGCCATGTGTTTGTCTCTTGTTTTCTTCACATTGCGAAAGCACCACAAGCCCATGGTGGACTACTGGAAAACTGTAGAAAACGTGAGGTTAAGTGTCAGCAATCTCACCGCCCGGCGTAAGCTGTTAGGGCCTTCCCTTCCGCCATCGTTTCTCCCGAGCGCGTGTTTCTAGATGAAAGCGTGTCTTTTCTGCATAGGTTTAGATAGTTTGAGCAACACCTTCTCCTGCTGAGAAAATTCTGCGAAGCCCTCACGTGCAGTGGCTGCGTCCAGTTTCAGTCACGGGGAGGCCACGGTGCCCCTGGACGGACAGGCAGGCCGGGGGCTGGGTGCCAACCCACCTTCTCTGAGTTGCAGTTTTGCCCCATGTGAAATGGGGACAACAGCTGGGGTTTCTCGGGGTCCACCCTGGGGGGCCTAGGGTTTCGGGGTGCTGTTTGGCAGACTCTGAGGAAGCCAGCCCAGGGATTCCCTCAGGGGACTGAGGGCCGCTGCAGAGACCCGGGGGTGAGGGGAGTGACACATGGGTGCTCATGGGGCAGCCTGGACACCAGATCCGACTTCCTGGAGGGCTGGAGGAGGGACACACGCTGGGGACATTCTTCTGCCCTATGGGGTGGGAGGAGCGGGTGTTCACTGCAGCTCTTTCAAGACCTCTTTTGTGAAAACCAACACACGGTCTTTCGTTCAGCGTCCAGCTTGGTCTCAGGCTGTGAAATGGCCTGCGGTGGCCATGGGGTCGCTCCCACCCCTCCAGCGCCTTCATGAATCAGGCAGCCGTTCCTGGGGGGCAGCGGTGAGCTCAGCCAGAACCCGGCAGGCCAGGCCTGAGCTCTCCCTCCCAACTGCTGGGAACACGCCATCTAAACGCTTGAGCTAGTTTACAGTCGACAGGCCCCCCCCCTCCCCCATGCAGTAGAAAGGGGGCGCTTCCTAAAGCTCCAGGTGAAAAGCCCTGCCCGCCAGTGGCTGCACACCCTTTCAGAGGCGTAATGACAAAAACAGGCAGACCTTTTTTTCAGCACATTCCTGGACCCAGCCCTGGAATTCCGAGCTCCGGGCTCAGGAATCTGCCCGCTCAGCCTCCCCTCCCCCAGGGTGACTTTGAGGAGCTGCAGGTCTGGAATTCGCCCCTCCGGCTGGAGGGAGGCTTTTCCATCATCTGGGAAGAGGGGCCGCGTGAGGAGGCTCAGGCCACACGAAGTCAGGCCGCCTCCTTTGGGGAGATGGAGCCTGCGGTAATGGCCTCTTGGCCCCCCTAACTGAGGGGGCGTCGTATTCCGGGTCCGGTCGGCCCTGGGGAGCCAGCGTCCCACCGAGTGCCGGGCACTGTTGTTCACGGAGCACCCAGCAGGTGCTGGCTGACCGGCGGGCACTCACAACGGTCCCATGGGGTTGGCTCTATTCTCATCTCCAGTCTTTACAGGAAAAGCAGCAGAGGCACAGAGGAGTTAATTAGTTAGCCAAAGCCACACAGCAAACAACTGGCTACTCTTGGATTTCAAATCCAGGCTGTGGTCCCAGGAGAAGACACAGGCCCATGAGCATGAAAACACGCCGTGGCCAGTTAGGGAGCGCAGGGCCCCCGGCTCTGCGGAGACACCTGGGTCAAGGCAGGGCGAGACCACCTGGCCTTTACTGCGAGTCGGTCCACTTGCCTAGGACAGGGACCAGCACAGGGACGCTCTCCACCTTCAGAACCGAAACCAACAGGAAGCACGCAGCCTGGGTTCAGGAAGTCCCACCAGCGTCTGGGAGCAGGTCCCAGCACTACCCGTCCAGGCCCTGACGGACGGTGTCCTGCACCTGGAGGCCAGCCTGGGGTGGGTGAGCCCTCCAACCAGCAGCAGGTGCGTTCCTGTGAGGCTGCAGGTGCATTTTGTAAACAGCAGCCATACATCTCACTGCCAGAGGAGGCTACGTTCAGAAGGGACCTTATGTTGGCTCACCCTTTGTAAACTAGTGTGATTTTATGAATAATTCCTGGAACCTGTGGAGAGGGAGAGAGAGCACGAGAGCGAGAGAGCGAGAGCGAGAGCGAGAGAGAGAGAGAGAGCGAGCGAGCGAGAGAGAGAGAGAGAGAGAGAGAGAGGGAGAGGAGCAGACCCCTTTGTCAGCAGAAAATGCTGTCATTGCTCAGGACGCTGGGGAACTTGGGTCTGACGCTTGGAAGCAGGCAGAGGGTGTGAAGCACCGGGCCAGAAAGGCGGGAAGGGCTCTGAGGCCCAGAACAGCTCCGGCTCTCCGGCTCTCCAGCCTTCTTTCCACTTCTCCAGGTGTGAGCCGGTCACCTCCAGCAGCCCACTTCCCAGGACCGCACCAGCGGCCCCGAGTTCAGCTGTGTCTGGGCAGTGGACACCCAGGCCCACTCTGCAGGGGTTGCTGTGCATTTAGGGGAGAGGGAGCCAAGGCCTGACTGATTCCTGAAAGGTTCTGGGATACAGAAAGGTGAGGTGTGATTTGCATATTTGGGAAGAGAAGAGACAGGACAGAGTTCCTGGGAGATGTCAAGGGACTTGGTACCTTCGGGGACATCGCAGGCGTGGGCTCATGCTCCTCCCACTCCACAGGCTGCTTGCAGCGTCGTGGGGCCAGGGAACGACATCTCGGATCATGTTTCCTGCTGCCCTTTCAGCGGCTCTTTGGAAAATAATTTTCAGTGCAAGAAAATAAAAAGTAAGAAAAACACCCAAGTCATTGCCCACATACTTCTTTGATCTAAGGATATAAAATTACCAGACTTTGGTCATCGCCAAGACCATATTTATGGCAATGACAAGCTTCCAAAAAGTTCTTTCATAACTGCTGGATGAGAGGAACAGGAGTGAGGCTGCGGGAGAGGCCGTGAGTGCGTGTGTGTCTGTGTGTGTGTGTGTGTGTGTGTGTGTGTGTGTGTGACTGTGAGTGTGTGTGTATGTATGTCTGTCTGTCTGTCTTGGGGGGGGTGCAGAAGCAGGAACTTCCTGCCTCCCCTCCCCTCCCCTGCCCGGAGTGCTGGGACATATGGGCTGCTTTCTCTCAGCTAAATTGGTTTGAGACTTTTGTTTTCAGATTTGAGGTATTTTGGGGTGGGTAACGATGGAAAAAATGTGCTCTCCCTTTTTCAGATAATTGCCGTATGCCCTGTTTTTGTTTAAACTCTTGGAAACTCATAGTTGCGGCTTATGAAGTGGGGAGGCCCTGGGCCCTCTGGGTGGGGATTCCGGGAAGCAGCCGCACGGAGCTGACAGAGGACGCACGACAAACACAGGGCCCATCCGGCCTCCCCCTCTAGGGACCTGCATAAATGGGCATCCGAGACGCTGTGGTCTCAGAAACAGCAGCGTGGTGGGGCCCCAGCCAGCCCAGCAGGGGGCAGCAGGCTGCCCGGGCATCCGGAGGGTAGATTTTAGGAGCAGCTGCCCGGCAGGGATGAAGAGCCCCAGCTTCCAAGTTGTGAGATCTTTCTTGGGCAAACGTATCCGTCTAACACCTGGTGAAATTCAAGTTCACTTAGTTGTTCAGCCAGGTGGACCTGGACGTTGTGATAGGCTCTTTGATGCCAGCCAGATAGATGGGCGAGGTTGGCTCCGGGTCTAGTGGGAGAGAGGCTTCAGCACAAGGATGCGTCAGCACAGCTGTGCGGGCGGATGGGCGGCTGGCAGCTCCAGAGACCGTAACGGGAGCTTGTTGGCCTACGGTCCTGGGTCCTGTGTTCTGTCGCTGACCAGCTAGGAGACTTTGGGCAAGTTACCTAGGATTTTAGCCTGTTTCCCTATCAATAAAGAGGGGACAGTAATAGTACTGGCCTTACCGCCACTGAGGGGTCAGCTGGCTATGACCGCCCACCGCCCTTCCGGCTCCTTTCCTGGGAGCCCAGCCTCCTGCAGCAGCCTCTTGGGCAGAGGGCTCCCTGGAAGCAGGAGAAACAGCATCTGTTGGGCTCTCTGAGGCCTGTGGCCCCGAGCTCAGGAGGCATGTGCCTCAGGGAGTGGGTGTCCAGCTCCACGAGGGTGAGTCACGTGCTTTGGACGTCCTGAGAAAGAACTACCCCTGGGGCACAGCAGGGTGGCTCTAGTCTTTGCAAGGAGGTGCCTGGTGGGACTGAATCTGAGAGGGGCTGGGTCCCAGTCCTCACGATGAGCGAAGGCGTCCACTGCGTGTCCCCTCCCTGGGCCGGCTTTGCATCGGGGGCCTCACGCCTTCTGAAGGCCACTCGTAAAGGAGCCGTTTCCGGTGGCTTTCCCTGCTCCCTGCGTGGGCAGCACAGGTAGGGCCACCCCAGGGCCACTGCGAGTTTGGCTGTCACATTCCTGAGTCAGGGTGGCTCCTGGTCACACGCTCCAAGCCCCCAGCATCCTCAGGTGTGGCTGTAAGAGCGTTTGGTGCAGGCAGCAGACACAGTCTCTGTCCCTCGTCTGCAGGAAGTTGGCCGGGGAGCTGTCCCGCAGACGCCTTCTTCCAACCGGGCTCCGTGGTCCACAGGTTAGGGTGTTGGGGCAACTGTTCTTCTGCGTGGGAGGGCGCTTCTCGTTCTGCAGACAGGCATGTGTTTCCAGGAGGGTCTTGAAGAGCACGCAGCCCTCTCCCCAAATCCACCCGGGGGACCCGGAGGCTGAGAGCCGGAGGGCGGCGCCTGGATCTCGGGGGTGCTGCATTTCCTGCCTCCGTCCTCTGAGCACCCCTCTACCTGGGAGGGTCTGTCCCGACCTCCTCGTGCCGAGGGGTCATGTGACCTCTCAAGTCCCCCCTGAGCCCGCCCTCCTCCGGCCTGACCTTCACCTTCAAAGGGCTTCTGCTGCCTCGTGGGCGCTCCCTGTCCCGCCGCGGATGCGAGGCCCCCCCAGGCTGTGCCCCCGGAGCGCAGTGCGTCCGGCTCCGGATGGATGAGTGAAGCGACCACCCGGCCGGGCAGGACCCGCGCCTCCACGGGTCTGACCGTCCGGGGACCCCCCTGGCCGGCGGCGGAGGCCCGGG